CTTCCTGATCATCCTGGGCATACACTGGCTCTTGCTCTACAACCCTTGTTCAGCAGAAGTTGGGTTCCAGTTCAAGTCTGTACAATGCCAGTGAGCCTGCTGTCTTGGTTCTGAACTTTTTGTTTGGTCTTACTGAAACAGGACCTTTGTTTTCCCTTTCCCTCAACTTGTATTTGCAATGTTTCTAGAGGCTACAGAATGGCAGGACCTACCCTAAAGTAGCAGAAGAATAGAAGTGTATACCAGAAAAGGAAATAGAGAAAAGACTGAATTAAAAACCCTCAAGAGTTGTCCTATGTTCACCATTTTACTGAGAAAAACAGGTGGGGAAGGTTTTTGAAGGATGCATTGTGGATTTTTGTTTTGTTTCATGTCAGTTGGCAGCATCTTACAGAAAATAAACACTACAGAAGTGCATGGCAACCTATTTCTAGGAGAAATAATACTGCAGCAGTAATTACCAATGAACACCTCTTGTTAAAGAAAAGGAACTAATAATTAATTTCAGATATTTAATAAGTTTCAACTGTGCATGGTCACACAGTATCCTTATAGTTTAGATGCTCTAATGTCAATGTGAAACAAATGGGAACAAACTACCACTTTTGTAAATCCAACATTTCTAGTCACTTACTGGGAGCAGAGGATGACATTCCAATTAAAATTCTATATTTGAATTCTAGGTCAGGTTTTAAGAAGTTTATATACATATAATATCAGATTAAAGGAGTCAAGAATTGTAGTACAATTCTAATGTAAGAACACATCCAAATAAATTTGTGTGCTATCAAGATTTTCAAACTGTGCCATAACATTACTTATTACTTTTGTTCATGTGTGCTACCATTTATTGCAAGACTACAAAGCAGACTCATGCACAGAGGAGATTCATCACAAAGACTGCCTAAAATGGGGAGTTATTAAAAGAAGAAATCTGCTGCTAGTTGTTCCAGAGTGATGAGTTTCTAGCCTACATAATTAACTATTGTTCAAACTGGTAGACAAAACTATAGAAGCAGGGTTTTTTCCCCCTTGGGAGGGTGGGAAGGAGAAGGGAAGACCAAGAGTGCATGTGCCTGGGTCAATCACCTTCCTTCTATTCATATTAGTAAGACATTGTACAATGGAGTGAATCATAAACTTACCAGATAAAAAAAATAAAAATAAAACACCACCACAATTTTCTTTGGATTCAGCTTGTAAGAAAGACAACAGACTCTAAAAGCATTTTGGCTGACCTTTGATATGCATTGGATTGGAAAATTTCCAGTTTTTTTTCAGCCAACATCTGTAAATGTTTTTTTTCATAATCCCAGAGGGATATGCAGTATGAGTCTACACCAAATGATATGTTTACTAAGGAAATGGAGGAGCAGTTACAAATTGAGTTACAAATTGAGAAATGTACTTTACTGAATGATCAAATGCAAGTAGGAAAATTATTTCCAGCATCTTAAAACAGAAGTGTTGGAAAACACCAAAAGACATAGAATGCTTGGAAAAACTAGTAAAGAGGGAACAGACGTGTGCAACTAAGAGCCACATTTTAAGACTTTGTTTTGTGGAAGTCTTTGTGCAGTCACTTGAATCAGAAATTTACAAAAATAAAAAGAGAAATAAGCCAGCAGCTGGAAAAACTAGTGTAAAAACATTTTATTCAGTCCAGGCAGTCTACGCTGAGATTGGCTTTAACTTGGACTTTACAAACATGTATCACATTATACCTCCAACTCTTTTGCCTTTTCATCTGCTGTTCTTTTATGCTGAAGTTGCTGTTCCTCAAACACATTTTGTAGCTCCTTTTCTTTCAAGCGCTCATTCTGCAAGTCTTGGAGTGCACCTGTCAGATCTTTTTCTCTGTTTTCCAGTTCAGAGCTGCAATATTAGCAAAGTTACAAATGACACCTCTAGAGAAAAGGATCATTTTTTTTGTTCTTAAATATTTCATCTTTTTTGTTTCTAAATATTATGGTCTTGGAAAGATACCTTTTCTCAGACTCTGTAACCTCTTCCCCCCCCCCCCCTCCTCCCCCATGGTAGAAGAAATTAAGTCTCTTTGACCCATAACTCACCATACAACAAGATGTTATATTTTGTTAGTTGTTTCTATGGTGTCACCTACCTTTTTTAAACTCTACTCTTTAGCTGAACTTTAAAATTGAACTCTTTCATATTTTAACTTCTAACTGTTAAGAACCAGGATATGTTACTCTACTCTGTGGTACAGCAACAATGCTGCTAAATGGTAGCATGTACTACAACAATGGGGGGAAAATGAAAATGCATGTAAGACCATGACCAGGCCGTTAAAGTAAAAGGAAGTAACTAGAATCTGTCCAACAAACCTGGACCAAAAAGAAAGAGTAGGCAAGAGTTGAGGGTAATGACAAACAGAAACCACTGGTCAGAATCGAGAAGAAATTCTGCTCTGACCAACAAATTCCACTGTGTCCATATGGGGTAGGGAGAGAGGTATTATTAAATGAAACTTCCTACATATTTCACTGCTGTGGAAGAAGCAATTCTCAAGTTTAAGCCACTCATCAAAAATCTGTTAGAAGCCAATAAGAATTTACTTTTCTTAAGCTGCCATTTCCAAATGTTTTATTTCTTCACTGTCCCTGAATGGCATGGTTCTGGACTTAACCATTACAAAATTATGTCACATAGATCATGTATTTCAAAAGTACTATTACTTACCGGAACTGGTTTATTTCCCTCTGAAGGTCTTGCAGGGACTTTTGCAGGTTTTCATTCTCTAACTTGCTTTCATAAAGTTCTGATTTCAAGTTTGATGCTGCAGTCTGTTCCTGCTTCTGGAGTTCTCGCATCTCAGAGGCCCTCTGCTGCTCAATGCTGAGAGTATTCTGTAAATCACTTGCTATGGATTTTTCCTGCTGAATCTTGTATTCTAGTAATTCAACTAAGAGGGAAAATAATGAAGACCATTTGTACTGTAACACTTTTAACAATTCTATTCCCAATTATACACATTTAAAAGTACTGATAAAAAGGACCAAAACTGCTACAACTTTCCCCATCTTCTCTTAACAAAGAACTCAATTATTTCAAAAAGCTCATACAATAATAAATATTTTCCAGAATTACACAACTACTGTTTTATTTAGAGAGTGTCTCAAGCAGCTTTCCCCTTTCGTTCTGACTTGTTCATTGGATTTCTGATTCCTCTCTGGTTTCTAACTCTTGATTAAAACAATAAATTGCTAGCAGGCCTCAAATAACCTATTTACCAATGTACATTGATAAACACACCAGTTCAGAAAATTTTCTGAAAATCCACCATTTTCTTGTTCGTCTCCCAAGTAGTTAATGTGCATTTCTTGACATAACATTTTTCCTTCAGCCATCTCTAAGATAAAGAATGCATATAACTTGTTTTTGGTGCATTTCAAAAACCTTTTCAAACAAACATTTCTGCAGTGAAAGATTTTTAAAATAGGCTGCACTCTTACTGCTGCTAAGACCTTTAAAAAATCTGATATATTTAAAAAAAATGATGTCAGGGTATATTGTTTTCTATTAAATGGCCCTGTGCTGGAATGGAAAAAGCAGATGCAAGGAGTTTAAACTAAGTACTACCCTTCCTCCGAAGTTGATGTTCTTGTTTACTCCCCCGATCCTCTGCATTAGTAATGGTTTCCTGTAGCTGCTGTAGCTTCTCCTGGTTTTGAAGATGTGTCATTCGTAGTTGTGCTCGAAGGTCCTGTATTTCAGAAAGTAAGCTGCTCCTATCAGAAGATAAAAGGTGCTCTAAGACTAGCTGCTGCTGTTCTTCCTGAAAATAAACAAAGCCCATTTCAGACAAACAGGGGCAAAAAATCCCAGTAACTTCTAAGTAATATTAAGTTCATACAGATACTCACATTCTCCCCATAGGATAAATTCAAGAAATTTTATAAACTATATTTCCCTACATAACTTACATTTTATAAAAAGACAGAGGCAATTTGAATTGATTAAACTCATACCTATTCTATTAACAAATTTTTGAGCTGGCAACAGGAAGTACTTTATTAGCCTCTCTAATAGCCTGACAGTTATCGCAAACTATCTTTAATCATTTCAGAATAAGTATCATAACAAGATTGGAGGAAAATGGCTATCAAAACAAAACTCACAAAAACCTAATGCCCACAGCATAAGATTTCATAGATTTCATAGACATTAGGGTTGGAAGGAACCTCGGAAGATCATCAAGTCCAGCCCCCTGCCCTAGGGGCAGGAACTCAGAAGGGGTCATAGAATCCCAGCAAGATAAACATCCACATTTCTCTTGAAGGCATTCAAAGTAGGTGCTTGAACCACCTCCGATGGCAGGCTATTTCAGACCTCAGGGGCTTGGACAGTAAAGTTCTTCCTTATTTCCAGCCTGAAACGGTCTTGGCGGAGTTTATGACAGTTCAACCTTGTCATCCCTTGGGGTGCTCTGGTGAACAAACATTCCCCCAGATCCTGGTGAGCACCCCTTATACATTTACAGGCAGCGATGAGATCACCCCTGAGAATCCACTTTTCCAGGCTGAAGAGTCCCATAGCTCTCAGCCTCTCATCATAAGGTCTGTTTTCCTGACCTCTGATCATGTGCATGGCTCCTCTCTGGATTCTCTCAAGCTTCTCCACATCCTTTTTGAATTGTGGAGCCCAAAACTGGACGCAGTACTCCAGCTGCGGCTTCGCCAAGACCAAGTACAAGGGAAGAATGATGACCTGGGATTTGCTTGAGAAGCATCTATAGATGCAAGCCAACGTTTTGCTTGCTTTACTAGTCATAGCATCATATTGATGGCCATGTTCATCTTGTGGCCAATCATGACGCCCAAGTCCCTTTCATCTGTAGTGCTAGCCAGCGTAGCACTGCTGAGCCTATAAGCATACTGCGGGTTTTTCTTCCCAAGGTGGAGAACCTTGCATTTTTCAGTGTTAAACACCATCAGGTTCTCATCTGCCCATTTCCTGAGCCTGTCAAGGTCAGCCTGGGTCGCCCTCCTGTCCTCACGTGTAGATACTTTGCCCCAACGTTTGGTGTCATCAGCAAACTTGGCCAGTCCGCTTCTGACTCCAATGTCCACATCGTTAATGAAGATGTTGAATAATATAGGTCCAAGGACAGAGCCTTGAGGGACCCCACTGATCACAGCAGACCACAACAATTGACTTCCATCAACCACCACCCTCTGGGTCCAACCATGGAACCAATTCCCCAGCCAGAGGATTGTGGTGGACCTGAGGCTGCAGCTGGCCAGTTTTGCCAAGAGGTGATCATGGGATACCAGATCGAAGGCTTTTTTGAAGTCAAGATATACGACATCAATCTCTTCTCCCTTGTCCAGGTGATGGGCTACTTGGTTGTAAAAGGAAATAAGATTGGTCAAGCAAGACCTACCCGCAACAAACCCGTGCTGGCTATCCCTCAGGATGTTGCCATCAGCCGTTGTGTTAAGAATGGCCTCTTTGATAATCTTTTCTAAGACCTTCCCCAGGATAGAGGTCAAGCTGATGGGCCTATAGTTTGCCAGATCCACTTTCCTCTCTTTCTTGAAGACAGGCATAACATTGGCCTTCTTCCAATCATTGGGCACTTCACCAGAGCACCAGGAGTTCTCGAAGATCCATGCCAGGGGCCGAGCTATGATGCTAGCTAGCTCCTTGAGTACCCTGGGGTGTAGACTGTCAGGCCGGCTGACCTGAAGGTGTCCAGCCTCTCAAGCTGTTCCTTCACAAGGTCAGCACTGATGGAGGGTAAGGAATCTCCCTCACCCGTAACGGGCAGGGGCATCCCATGGGACTGGTGAAAGACCAATGCAGAGCACCCATTTAGCAAGTTGGCTTTTTCCTGGGCATCAGTTGCCAGTTGTCCCATCTGCTTTAGCAGGGGTCTAATGTTGCCCTTGCTTTTCCTCTGGCTCTCCACATATCTAAAAAAAAGGACTTTTTATTGTCCTTGATATTTGTAGCCAGTTGGAGTTCCATTGCAGCCTTGGCTTTCCTAGTTCGCTCCCTTCAGGTCTGGACCAGTACAGAATATTCCTCCTTGGAGGTGGATCCTGTCCTCCATTCTTTTTAGACGCAGGAGGTCCTCTAGTTCTTTGTTGAGCCAAGGGGGCTACTGTGCCCTTTTGCTGCCTTTCCTCTGAGATGGAATAGATTTAGCTTGTGCATCCAGGATTGCTCCCTTGAGGAGCAACCACTCTTCATGAGCTCCCCTCCCCTTTGGGTTGTGGTCCCTTAGGGCCTCACCAAGAAGCCTCCTGAGCTTGTCAAAGTCAGCTTTCCTGAAATCGAGAACTTCTGTAAAGCTGACTGACTTGCCAGCTTTACAGCAGATAGTGAAAGTGATCAGCTCGTGGTCACTGTCACCCAGCTTCCCTTCGATTGTTAGGTCGCTGATTAGCAAGATACAAAAGTATGAGAGATTTAACATCCACATACTGTGTCACCAACTATGATTACCAAAAACTTAGGGAGAACACAGTGAATGATAAGGAGTTTCTTACTTGTTGTTTCATAATATGCTCCAGCTTTTCCACCAATGAACCTTTATCTCCAGACCCAGGATTGCAGAGATGCGACTGCAAGTCAATTTGCAACATGTTGCGCTCTTTCTCCAATACGCTCTGAACAGCTTGGAGAAGTTCACCTCTCCAGTCAAGACAAGCATCTGAATATTCCTACAGGGAGAGGGTAAATTTATTAGCATCTATACAAAAGAACTGGTGATGTATTTAATTTTAATGAATTTGTTTTATCTTGATACCTTGTCTCCTTTATCTGTCATCTTACTAAGATAATCTTTTAGTGACTGTATTGCATCCAATAAGGTGAGACCCTCTTTTTGCCATCCCTCTGCTGCTGTCGGCTGCTGAACACTCTTTGGATCCCTCAGAACAAATGGATATTCTGACAAAGCCAATATTTTGCGACTCTCTTCATACACCATTTTCAGCACAGTCTGAAGAGAGAAAACATTTCTATAAATAACATTAAATTAAGATGATCTAAAATGCCAACCAGAAAACATTGTGCTATATTTCTGTAAATTAAACTTAACAATAAAAACAGTGTCTGCCAAAAGACTAAGATGTTTTTGCACTGTAAACTTCAGGGAACAAACAAACAGAGATGAAACAAAAAACTCTTTAAGGATGTGTTTTACCTATTAAAGATATTTCTATAAAATGACAGTATTTAAAAACATCAGATTTCTAGAGAAAAGGAAATTAGAAATTAAGATTCCCCCATTAACTTACATTTTGTCTTCAAGTACCAACCCTCCTCCAATATAGATGCTAATGAGCAGGCATGTAAAATTTAAGTAGGAAAACCTACTGCATAGTGCATCTCAAGTTCTAGTTTCCACATAGAACCAAGATACAACACAAATCTCATCCATCCCACCTTACAAGCTAGAGATGCCTCTGTCTTTTTACCCTGCAATATCCAGTCTGTATCAAGCAGATAAACGTTAAGCCCCATTCAATCTATCATGCATCATTTGTACTGTGGGAGCATCTGCCTAGATAGACCTTCAGGCATGGTAGAAAGACGGAGAAAAATGCCCCTGTCCAAAGGAACTTACCAGCTATGTAAGTAGCTTGTCAGGACAGTTTAACACATGACTGTCTACATGATGTCACAGTTTTAGCCCTACTGTTTGAAACATATGAAAGACCCTACAAGAGTCAGCTTAATTGCCTGGTATTACAACTTTTGTGCAAGCCATATTGCAAAAACTCTGGTTCACAGTGCACTTAAAAAAAGAAAAAGAAAAAAATGTGTTACCTATTGTCAAGTATGTTTGTAAAATTGAATATCTTGTGCAAGTTGGTAATATGGTCTAGGAACTACATTACCAAAATCTGACCATCTCTTCACACCTTTCTTGCACACAAGTTAGGAACACTTTGCATAGATTCCTGTATCTGAAAACTTCTCACTAGACTGACTAACCTAGGAATCAGCCAGCCTGGCACAGAAAGAAAACATGAAGCAGTACTAAAAATCTGTCACCAGCTTCTGGAAAGCTACATAAGAGCAAGGAGCTACCGCACTTCCACTATGGATCCTGTCTCTCTCTCTCTCCTAGGAAGAGTAAAGGAATCACTCCTGCTACTTAAGGTAGGAAGAAGGGAACAAACTTTAACTGTGGGTGTTTGTGAGCAGTGCTGTATTTCCTGTGTTCCTTCTGATTTCCTTAAGAGAGATAAAGATCATCACTCCAATAGATCAGATCTCTTTCAGCAGACTGCTCCATCATAAGCGAAGACTGGGCCACTGGAAGATACGCCATTCTTGCACACAACCAACTTTCTAGCAAATTTCAGGTATAAAATGTGCATCAGCACTCAATACAGATGTCCCTTAGCACATCTTGCTGAAATATAAGCTAAATGTGTGAATACATGACTGAGTCAGTTCTACACATACCTTGGCAAATATTAAAAATTCCTGGGTTTTTTTGGCAATAAAACAAAGTTTATTAAATCTGATGTCATGTGATTACCCCCCAATGTTGCTAAGTGGCTCCTGGAGGCCACTGAAGTGAATAATGTTCTGTTTGTGATGGTCTTGGCTTAAATTTTAACAGATTATATAAAACATCCCTAAAATATTCAGGGTCTTAATAACTTAAGTAGTGGAAACTTCTTGTTCTGTTGTTACCAGACTAAATCATCTCTTAAAATGAAATCATCTCTCTGCACATAAGCTATTATATCATGTACAGATGTTTCCTTGTCTCGTTCCAAGTAAAGCCATTTGAGATTTACATTAAATCCTTTTCTAGATTTCTCTAATCAGAAATATCCCAGCCTGGACATGAAGTTATTATTCCAAAAGTAAGTTGCAATGAGCAACAACATAGGCAATTAAACAATTTTAAATGATAAATATGTGCATCCAAATCTCCAGTTCCTCCCACTACATCCTGAGTTATTCCCAATAAGAGACCAGTTAAGGGTGAGGTTCAAGACGCACATTATTTTTGTAACACAAAATTTGTTTGGAACTCTGCCAGCCTGCAAGGGAAAACTTGTGGTTTCCCACATTTTTCTCCTTTAAAAGAGAATCCATTTTTAAAAGTTTGTTCGCAACCTTTTCATATATTCTTGTGACCCACTTTTGGGTCATGACCCACAGGCTGAGAAACACTGCTCTAGGGCACCAGTGTTGCCACTGCCACCTCCTCTAAAGCACCACCAACATGTGGACCCTTGTTTTTTGTCATGCTAAAACAACCTATTTATCACCACAAATGTAATAAGAGTCAAGGATCTGAGACTCTTCTGGCTGCAAGTCTCTCTTCTAAACAGATGGTCTGGTCTAGATAGGCAAATCCCTACAACAAGAGGTAACAAGGTACCAACTTCGCATATTTGTTTCCCCTACTGAGGTTTGTTGATCTATGCCCTGCCAAGAGAAGCAATAGGAGAACAGGTTGGATATAGCCAGTCAGGTCTGAGGCCTCCCTACAGTGAAACAGAAAAAAGTTACTCTGCATCGCTTCTGACACTCAAAAGCAGAACAGTGGATTTGTGGCAAAATACCTGACTATATACAGGTTACTGCTTGGGAACAGATGCATAGATACATATTTATACATAGTGAACTGCCTCTCTGAAAGTCAGTGGGCGTGGTTACCCAACAATCTAGAGGCGCACTGATAAAATATTTTTTTGGCCGATACTGATGACCAATTATTAACTAGCCATATTGGCTGATAGTGATTGGCTGATCTGATTGCCGATATGGAGACTGGCAGCTTCGAGAGCAGCATCCAGGTGATAAGTCTGTTGGCAGGAAGGTGTGGAGAAGGGATAGGGCATGAGAGGACACAGATTGAGGCCCCCGCAATGAGAGCGGGAGGGGCAGGGGATGCCCAGCTGGGGTGGGGCACAGGACTGAGCTGCGGGCAGCTCATCTGGGGGGCAGAAGCTCCTACCACTGCATGCACTCCCAGGGGAGGCACAGGAGGCCCATGCCCCCCGAACTTGTACACAGAGCAAGAGCGGGCTGCCCACTGCATATCCAAGGCCTGGGGCTAGGCCGGGGCAGACAGAGGTGGGGTGGGCAGAGGCAGTGCTTGGGAAGGTAGTTATGGGAGTGGGGTCTACAGCAACCCCAAAATTCACTGCAGCCTCCACTCGGTGACCCCTCTCACCCCAAAGAGGCCAGTGCAGCCCCAAGCCTGCAATGGGCAGCCCACCCTCGCTCTGTACACAAACCCTGGGGGGCATGTGCCCCCCAAACCTTCCCCAGCGGTGTGCACAGCGGC